AGACGTTTCGTCCTATCATTTGCGCGAATAGCTAAACCCTTGACAGAGTTATTGAAGAAAGGAGGTCCTTTTCCACTCAATGAAGAGCAATTAAGTGCATTTAATGAATTGAGGAATGCTTTGGCTAATCCACCTGTCTTAGCCATTTTTAGTCCTGGTCGAGAAACTGAGCTCCATACAGATGCCAGTTCACATGGGTTTGGTGCTATATTATTGCAGCGACAAGATGATGGAAAAATGCATCCTATTTCTTTTTATTCAGGTAAAACCACTGCAGCAGAATCACGATACCATAGTTTTGAGTTGGAAACACTTGCAATAATAAATGCATTGCGCCGTTTTAGAGTATACCTTGAGCACAGGCAATTTAAAATAATTACGGACTGCAATTCTTTGGTGCAGACACTTAGTAGAAAATATATTAATCCTAGGATTGCCAGATGGTCTCTTCAGTTAGAGAATTATGTGAATATGGCCCATGTTGATGCCTTGAGGAGACAAATAGAAGTTGTGAAGCTGTTAAAGGGTAGCGAGTTCGACAATGATGAAGACTTGTTCGAAAATCTCGTAGAGAACCGTAGAGACCACTGTATAGAGAACTCTAGAGACAAACTTTTAGAGAACTATAGAGACCGTAGAACCGTATAGAACCATTAGAAACCCGTAGAGACAACCTTAATCGGAGCAGTGGAGATAGCATTATTGAAAGCCTTTTAGAGATCCGTAGAGACACTCCTGTAGATACTATGTTGGTTGATAGCTATAGTAAAGACCCCTTGGAGAGAATACGTGCCTTGTTAGAGAATCTTCATGAGGAAGAAGAGGAAGATAAAGCTAATGGGAATTACATGGACGGTAGTAAAATGGCCTGGGGAAATGATAAATCGGAGTCTCGTGAGGACACTTTTCTAAAATCCATACCTATAGTAGGAGTCGTAGGAGCAACACCTGACGACGTAGACCTGATTCTACAAACTGAGCAAATGAGAGATCAAAATATAGTTCGATTGAGAGAGAAACTAGAGAGGGGACACTTGCGTTCCTTTGAGTTGAGGGATGGACTAGTATGTAGAAAGATTGGCGACGAGGCTTATTGTTTGTATGTGCCTGTCTGTATGGAAGAACAGCTTATTAGGAAATCTCATGAAAAACTAGGACACTTGGCAGCGGATAAGTGCGTTAAGGATTTAAGAAGAACCTATTGGTTTCAGAAATGAGAACTAAAGTTGAGCATTTTATTAGAAATTGCCTGTCGTGCATTTTGCATTCAGTGCCGAGATCCATTCATGATAGAACCTTGCATAGTATTCCAAAACCTTGTATCCCGTTTCATACACTCCATATAGATCATTTGGGCCCCTTACCGAGTATAATTTCAAAGAGAAAACATCTGCTAGTGGTTATTGATGCTTTTACCAAGTTTATCAAACTCTTTCCTGTAAATACAACTAGTACAAGAGAAGCGAGAGACGCGTTGAGTAAATACTTTGATTTTTATAGTCGACCCCAAAGAATCATATCGGACCGCGGTACTTGTTTTACGTCCCTCGAGTTCACCACCTTTTGTCAAGAACGGGACATTGAGCACATAAAAGTAGCTACGGGAGCACCTCAAGCTAATGGCCAGGTAGAGCGTGTAAACCGCGTGTTAACGCCCATGTTAGGGAAACTAGCAGAACCTCTTAGTCAGTCCGATTGGTATAAGCTACTTAATAAAGTTGAATACGCAATTAATAACGCAGTGCATAGTAGCACCCAGGTACCGCCAAGTGTTTTGTTGTTTGGAGTAGTACAAAAGGGACCTATAGTGGATGAGCTTTCTGAATACTTGGAGAATAAATTCAATAATGAACCTAGAGATCTGGTCAGCATCCGTGAGCACGCGGCTGTCAATATTCAGAATTCCCAAAAGAGAAACGAAGAGTTATATAGTAGAAAGCATAGAGCTCCTCGAGAATATCAAATAGGCGATTATGTGGCTATAAAAAATGTCGATACCACTGCAGGAACAAATAAGAAGTTTGCTCCTAAGTACCGTGGACCTTATAAGATAAGTCGTGTGTTTGATAATGATAGATACGAGGTCGTTGATATTGATGATTGCCAGTTAACGCAAATGCCATTTAGAGGTGTTTTAGAACCAGCTAGACTTAAACCTTGGATAAGTAATGTTAATGAAACTGTTGCCCTTTGTTTGTAAAGATCGTGGTCGATCTGTAGTCAGGTCGGCCGAATGTAAATAGTGTAAATATTGTATTAATTAGATAAGGTAACACTAAGAAATAACACATGTAACTATCGATAAGAAGATGAATCGATTGATCGAGTGTGTACGATCGATGTGAGTGCGATCACTAACGACAGAGAACCAAGCAGAGTGGACGTGAAATAAGAATAAAAGACAGAAAAATAAAAAGTTTACAGTTGATAAAAATGTAACTGATTAGAATTTAAATTGTGTTGGTGTAATAGACGGAATCACAAAGTGGGTGTTGCAGGCTTGGGCCTGCCCACTTGCGCACTTTCTTGATTAGACTTCTGTTTGATGCTCTATGATGAATGTGGAGAGCTGATGAAAATCTTGACAATCCTGTGGCGTTGGTGGTAGAAGGAGTAAACTCGACTTCAATTTTCCACGATGCAGATGAAAATCTGGGAGGAAAATTTCCCCGGGCCGTCAGCCACGTGAAGGAGTAAACTCGACTTCCAAGAATTTTCCTATAAAACGCATTACTTTATAAGTGGGGTTTTTCCACGAAATAATAGTAAAACTTACTTCCTTTAATCAACAGGAACCCACTGGTAAAAGAAAACCTTATAAAAGGCTGAGGATGTCTGATATTTTCCACGATTTGGTTTGTGTAGATCTCTGGGTTTAAATAAAATACGCTCAGGAGAGAACGATCTTCACACGGCCAAGGTTCAAAACGGAAAGACCGAATAATCGAAATGCATCAGGCAGCCAGGCCTGTTTATCGAAAAAGTGTGGGACCAGAGTTGCTCAAAAAGTCTTTATCGAACACGTCTTTTCAGTGTTGTAAAAATCGTAATTATTTGAATTTGGCTCTGCCATTTTAATTCCTGGCGGCAACTTCAAAAACTGGCGGGAATTTTAAATTGAAGTGGGAAATTCAAAAATTGAAAATATTAACGACAAGCGCCCTACAATGAGGTATACTACGGAAGTCAAATATTAAATATATTTGCTAGACCTTAAATTTATTATTGGCATTACTTACTTTCATTATTGTAAATATATCTTTACGTAATGAACATTTTTTTATTTTATTTCAATGTTAACACTTGTAGTGCTTGGATATTGAGACAATAAAATTAAATTTAAATTAAAACATTTTGAGTGTTATTTTAACAAATCCATCCCCATTCATAACGCACTTTTCACCGATGTAAGTCTTTTTTGGCCATGGTGGTTCGAATTTGTCCTTGAACACGGGAATATTGGAGCAGTGGGCACAGTTTCCTATTATTACATCTTTATAGTAGGTATTGAGATAGTGGTAAAAGGGTTGCTTGGGTATGGACCAAGGGAGCACCTTGTATTCATTCGCATCCCCCCGAAACGCTATGGAAGGCATAGGCTTCAACCTGGAAAAGATTGGGGGTTTTATAAAGGATATCCCTAATTAGGCTTTAACCCACCATGGTTTCGTCAGTCGTATCGTAGTCCCACTTGACATTGGCTGAAATTGCGTATTCTCCGCGTCTTATGCGAACGATTTGAATTTTAACAAGAGAGAACGCTATAGTCGGGTTGGTGTCCCGACTATCTAATACCCGTCACTCCGCTAAAGGGAGTGCGAACGCTGTGTCTGGTTGGTGTCCCGACTAATAATCGTAACTCAGCTAAAGGGAGTGCGAGGGAGATAGATATATGTTGACAATTTATAAATCGTATAACTTTTTAATGAATGGTCCGATTTGAAAAATGTCTTCTACATTTATACTTCTCGGAAATCTTTAAAGATGTGGGCGCAGGACCCATTTTAAAATCGTTAATGGGCGATTGTGGGCGTTAGAGGGGGCGTGGCGCTCGGCTAAAATAAACTTGCGCTGCGTAGGAAGCCAAAGAATATGTGTGGGAAATCTCAACCTTCTAGCTTTTGCAGTTTCTGAGATCTCAGCGTTCATACAGACAGACAGACAGACAGACAGACAGACAGACAGACGGACAGACAGACGGACAGACGGACATGGCTAGATCGACTCGGCTAGTGATCCTGATCAAGAATATATATACTTTATGGGGTCGGAAACGCTTCCTTCTAGCTGTTACATACTTTTGCACGAATCTAGTATACCCTTTTACTCTACGAGTAACGGGTATAAAAAGTATCAAACTTTCATTTGAGGTGGTGGAGGTGACCGATAAGGGTTCGTACTCCCATTTGCGCTGCAAAAAATAATTAAAATATTATGAGCTATGAACACAGAACTTACCGCTGCTCTGATTCCATTGATCAGCAGGGTACCAATCAAAATGTAAACGAACAAGAAGCGGGTATCCATACGGACCATAATAAACAGGGTACGGCCATGTCCCTCCTTATAAAGGCGACAGCCACTAATTAATTACGTGCAATGTTGCACGATATTTTTATCAGACAATGTAAACTTAATTTACATTGGTTATATCTAATAGTCATGGAAGGTCATGGGTGTATAATATAGCCCATATTAGATAAATTGTTAAAAAGGGTAAGCTGTAACTACGCTAGCTCGCATTTTCCGGAACTTTAAAGTAAACGATCAAGTCAAATACTAAATATTCTGAATATGTTTTGATTAGACCTTGAATTTATTACATAGTGCAACACGAAAAATGTAACCGCAGCTTGGTTTTCCAAACCTGAAAGTACTCATCAAACCCATTTAAACCTCGCGTTTCGATTTTTATGGGTGTGAGTGCATTTTATAAAATTAAAAGTATTTCCGTTTTAAGTATTTCCAATTAAAAATGGGAAAAATATAAAGGCAAAGTGTTATTTTGTAATCTTTATTGTTGTTTAATCGCCACCTCCGCTGATGCTGCAGCCGACGCAATCCTTATTGTGAAGGTAAGTGCCACCAGGCAGGCGACCACTGAAGCCATCGGGATAACGAGTGCCACCGCCTCCTCCTCTTCCACCAGATGCAATCGATGGACCAGCTCCCAGAGCTCCTGGATAAGCGTCGGGGGAATTGATGTAGACATTTCCCTGGCCCGGCCTTCCAGTTTTGTAGGTTTGGCCACCGACCACCACGTTTTCCGCCACCGGCGGACTACAATCCCGGCATGCTCCGCCGATAATCACATTTCCGGCTGTGGAGTAATGGAATAATAAGGGAATCGTGCCACCGAAGGGAGACCATCTCATTCTTACCTGTGGCCTGGGAAATCAGGACAGCGGCAACGGCAAAGGCTAGAATCAGACACTTCATTCTCGATCTGGATGCAAGACGAATCTGCTCGAGACACATGAAATCCGAAAGCTTTTAAGCGTTCTCCCTGGCTTTGTTATAGAAACCAGATTGCAGCGGACGCCAAGCCAACGGTGGGATGGTGCGGGACTCGCCCCAGAAACCAGTTCAATTGACAGATAATTCTGGGCAAGGGGTTTTCCACAAGCCCCATAGCACTCAAGGTTTTATTTCGATTTTTGTTAGCTAGAAATTGAACTCAATCGTATGCATATGTAACACGCAGTGTTTATCAAAAACCAGATGCTTGTTTTAATTTTTTAAATTGATTCTTTACTCTGCATTTTAAATTCTAACTGTTATGAAATGATATGATAATATTTTGCATTAAAAAGTCTAACTGACATGAAAAAAGTGTAGTGACCAAATAATGTCTTGTATTATTATTACTTTTTCTCTGCATGGTTTTAATATTTTTTTTATGTAAGCTTATATTAATTATTTAAATAAAAATTATAAAAATGTAAAACAACTTAACTACTATGTCGGATTAATTATTAATAATTAATTAACTAATAATATAATTAATTTAATCATTTTTTTAATTTAACTTAATTATTTCTAATGTTTTTTCTTTTATACTTTATCGATCGATAGTTATTTGTCTACACAAAAATCTGCGTGGAATACTATTTCATCATCACAATAGATTCCGCTAATTTGTTTTTGTTTTTACTTTAAATCTGAGGTCTGTTGATTACATCTTTGTGTTTTTCCAAAACGTCAGACTTGCCGTCGGTTGTCACAGATCCAACGAGCGTTCAATGCACTTGACTCGCTCTACGATCCGAAGCTTAGCTATAAAAGATCAGGTCTCGTAGACCGAGAGCATCAGTTAAAGCAAATCTATTGCCCAGCAATAATCTATTGAGATCTTAAACCGGAACCACCAATCCAGAATCAATATGAAGTTCTTCTCAGTCGTCACCGTCTTTGTGCTCGGTCTGCTGGCCCTGGCAAACGGTGAGTTAAACCTACTAATTTCCAATAGCTGATCCATTAATTAATTTACTATCTTTCCCCCAGCTGTACCCCCTGTCCCCCGATCCAGGAAATGTGATTATTAACGGCGACTGCAAGTACTGCAATGTCCGCGGTGGAAAGTAGGACAATCCAAGCCTAAGGATCTACGAAAGGCAAAGCTTACCTCAAACCCAAGACACAATATTTATACTTGTACCTAGAATTTAGAAAAAATGCCAAGCAAACAAATACAATAAACACACTAAAAAAACCTAAAGAGAATTTCTTTTTCGGTAGTTATAGATTAATCGCCGTATACAATTATTGCTTTAATTCTGGGAATTTCAAACCTCCTCCAATCGGAAATATATTGATTACATTTTTGCTAGGGGTTATCAGTGGCCTCCAATCTTTATGGCCAGATCGGCTCTCGGCTATATAAGATCAGGTCCCGTAAGTCGAGAGCATCAGTCGAAGCCAATCAATTGCCCAGTACACTCTGCATATAAAGTCGGAATCTAGAATCAATATGAAATTCTTCACAGTTGTCACTGCCCTTGTGCTCGGTTTGCTGGCTCTAACCAACGGTGAGTAAAAAATTTATTTATTATTTATAACGTATCTGATTAGTTAGCTAAATATGTATATTTTCCCCCAGCTGTTCCCTTATCGCCCGATCCAGGAAATGTTATCATCAATGGCGACTGTGTTAACTGCAACGTCCACGGTGGAAAATAGAAAAGTTCTATTTCAAGGATCGATAAACCAAAGACCATATTTATACTACCGCTGCGTACTAAAATAAAACCTAGAATCTAAAAAAAAGGTTCAGCTGTATTTTTACTAAAAGTGCATTAAGTTATATTAAATAATGTGATTATTATAAAATGTTGTAGAGATGGTGTAACTGATATAAAGTATACCCTATACTTTATAGGCATAAGGATTCCTCACCCATTGCGCTGTAAAGCTTGTGATTGAAATTAAGAAATTGGAAATAGTTGTTTCTATCTTTGATTTTTATTATTAGTTTCAAATTGTTGCTATAATCTGTGGACTATTAGCCCCGAATATTACATCCGACGCAATCGCTGTTGCGCACCAAGGTTCCGCCGGGATAGGGACGGGAATCGATGGTGGTGATACCATCTCCTGACCAGCTACCGCCTCCTCCTCTGCCGCCAGATCCGCCCAGATCGATGTACTGACCACCGCCCCACTGGCGCTTAGAACGCCTGCTTATATGTTGAGATCCCCCAGCTGATTGGTGCAGTGACCAGCCGGCCAGGTCGTTATCATCCTCCTCCGATGATGTTGGCCTGCGGGGCGGAGGTGATTTGGGCTTCGGTTTGGCAGTGGTCCTGCCACTATTTCCTCTGCCAGTCGTGGGTTTGTGGGTGGTGGTGGTGGTTTGATCATGGGAACAGTTTACGCACTTGCCGTTGATGGAGACCTTGCCACCTAAGAATGGAAACAGATTAATATTCTGGGTAAAACCTTTGGGATGAAACCGACCTTGGGCGAAGGCCAACGTCGCCAAGAACAATATCGCCAATAGCGTCAGGCACTTCATTATGCGGCTCTCTAACCTGATCGATCACTGGCGCCTTCTTTTATACCCGTCCCGATTAGCTCAGATCGGCTATCTGTATATATACTTTATACAGAAATGCATATAAAACCGCTCAAGGCTATAAATAAGTATTCCTAAGGCGTGACGTGTTCCTTGACTTTGAAACAAAGCTGAACTATTGGCTGTTACCAGAATAAAAGATGAAAAGGAATTATAGCTTCTTACAAATAATAATAACAGATTATAATTATTTTTTCCGCTACAGATGAACAAACTTCCCACATTTCAAATCGAACAATTTTGCTTATGCTGCTATACAATCGTATACCATACGATTACATTTTTAGACTATCCGTATCCACTATAAAATATTATTCTTTCACGTCGAAGATATATATGAAAGCCATTTTCATTCACGATTAAATTACACTATTTTACAAAACTAATCCTTAGACACGGAAAGAAAAGTTGGATGCTCTGTGCTGTTGGACTCCTTACATTTTGCAATTTTAATAAAATAAAAAAAATGTAGAAAAAATATATGAATTTAATTGTATTAACATTACTTAAAGAATTGTTTTTTTAAGGACCTATAAATTAAAAAAATAAATCCATTTTAATAATAATACGGATTAAGTACTTTATTTATATTTTAGGTGTATATGGTACCTGTTCATTTAGAATATAAAACACGTGTAGGTTTGATTAACAGGTTTTTATTTGTTGATACAAATTTTTCTCCACCAAAACAAATGCATATATTGATTATTACGACCCATTGTTTGATATTATTTGTCGTTTTTGCGAATGTTAGAAATGGCAGAGAAATTAATAAAAACAAATGTTATTGGTAAACAAAAATATTATATACGTTCTCTTTAGGGTCAAGATAACTGATATCTCAAAACTACTTAGAGCTCCAATAATTTTCTTGTGAATTTCGTTGCAACTTTAGTTATCTGCTAGTTAATATAACACACCTCTTTGCTTCCCCGTAAACACTGGACTGGTATTTCCAGATTTAAATGCGCAAAAACAAAATACTATTGAACGGTTAACTTTCTGTGTTTTCCCAAACGTCTCAGATTTGTCGAGGGTTATCAGAAGCCTCCGACTGCCCATTACATTTGCGTCGTTCTACGATCCGAGGCTGAGCTATATAAGATGTGGTTCCGAAAGCGGAGAGCATCAGTTGAAGTCAATCAATTGCCCAGCGCATTCAGCATCTGAAACCGGAACCACCAATCCAGAATCAATATGAAATTCTTCTCAGTCGTCACCGTCTTTGTGCTCGGTCTGCTGGCCCTGGCCAACGGTGAGTTGAATCTATAAACTTTCGATACCCGAACAATTAATAAATTAACTATCTTCCCCTCAGCTGTTCCCCTGTCGCCCGATCCAGGAAATGTGGTCATCAACGGCGACTGCAAGTACTGCAATGTCCACGGTGGAAAGTAAGAAAGTTCTTGGCTAAGGATCAACACAAGGCCATAATCTACCTTCAACCCCAGACTATATATTTATAATACCACCTTGTACTAAAATGAAACTTAGAATTTAGAACGACAATGACAACAATAAAAGAACCCAACTAAGAAAAAATATTTGTATTTTAATTTTCTCTACATTTTTCCTAGCTTCTATATCGCTAATAACGTTTTCTCAACTTCTTGATCAAAAGATTCTATAGAAGAACAGCCCAAATGGGGGTACTCTAAAAGCTCTATTTCAAAAAATCATTTATTTTTTTTGTCACACAATGGTCGACAATCTCCTGTACGGTGCACACTGAAACCGATTCCCTTACCCTATTATTAGGTGGACTAGAGTCCAGTCGACTGGTTTAAAGCGGAGTAAGAGGAAGACAGTAAGCCAAAATAATTAAGTTTATTTACCGGTCTGCCTACCACAAATTTTAGCAAGGGAGTATAGTCGAGTGCCTTGACTATCAAAAAACCCTCTGTTGATCGATTTCAAAATAAAATGCCGGGGTGACGAATATATGTCGTCAGTTCTAGAGCCCTGCACGAGTATACTCGTAGAGCCCTTTTTCTCCCATTTCAAAAAACAGCTCGAGTAAATCAGCTCACAAAAATGTTCAAATCGAATAGCTCAGCTCCTAAATTTTTACAATGAGCTACTCGACTCGTTCGAAAACAAAGGGCTCATGGAATCATAAGCTCATGGAATCATGGGCTCGAGTAGCTCAGTTTTTCGACCGGAGCTGAAAAAACCATTTTTTTTTATATTGCATTAATTTGGATGAAGGATTTTTGTGGCTTTTTATGCAACCGCAATATCTTAAGATCAACTCGATTTAATATGTTGTCCTCTTCAACAATTATCTTTGTTAAAAATTAAAAAATAATAAAACGTTTCTCCGCCCAAAAATCGCTATAAATAAATAGCTACCCTCGATGGACCCCAATTTTTTTTAACAGTTTGCCAAAAAATTGCTTGTCGACCATAGTTTTCTTGTAACCGTCTCTTCTTTTTTTTGATTCTTAAGAAATCGCGGTCCACCGAGGATAATTATTTTGCTGCTTCTACTAGTGAATAATAAAACGTTTCTCCCCCAAGAATCGCTAAAAAAAATTACCTTCTATGGACCGCGATTTCTTAAGAGTTTGCTAAAAAAAGTACTGGCGGTCGGCCATGATTCCCTTATAATCGTTTTCTCTTTTTGTAAATAAAATACTGTAAATTTGTTTATTGTAAATGTTTGACATTAAGCCCTTGGAGCTATTTCTGTTCGAATAACGTGAGCTGTTTGTTTGGTTTGTTTTTTTGACATGAGCTACTCGAGCCAAACTGTTTGAAAGGGCTCTTGGAATCATAGGCTCATGGGAGGAGCTCTTACTCGATGATCCTATGATCCCATGACCTATGATTCCAAAGTCACAAACAAACAGCTCAAGCTCAAGCTCAGAGCTGATTTTAAACTCTACTCGTGCAGGGCTCTAGTCAGTTCCGAATTACACTGCTAAAAAAACTATAAAAATGTGGGCGCCAGAAAAAAATGTTTATGGTTCTCCGAGGCGAGGCATTTCTGTGGGAGTGGAAAGTTTTGAATTAAACTTGCGCTTCTTAAGAATTCAAATATTTTATCAGAATAACACTGACTTCATATTTTAAAAGTACCTGCGAGTATAGTAAAAAATATTTATACTTAAGTTATATTTTTTTCAATTTATCAGACAAAATAGTAAGGTACTTTAAAGCCAAAAATTCTGCTCATGGAAAGTTTTGAATTAAACTTGCGCTTCTTAAGAATTCAAATATTTTATCAGAATAACACTGACTTCATATTTTAAAAGTACCTGCGAGTATAGTAAAAAATATTTATACTTAAGTTATATTTTTTTCAATTTAACAGACAAAATAGTAAGGTACTTTAAAGCCAAAAATTCTGCTCATGGAAAGTTTTGAATTAAACTTGCGCTTCTTAAGAATTCAAATATTTTATCAGAATAACACTGACTTCATATTTTAAAAGTACCTGAGTATAGTAAAAAATATTTATACTTAAGTTATATTTTTTTCAATTTAACAGACAAAATAGTAAGGTACTTTAAAGCCAAAAATTCTGCTCATTAATTTTTTCGGTGTAAAAATTAAACTGATTGATTGATTGATTTTTATACCCTTGCAGAGGGTATTATGATTTCAGTCAGAAGTTTGCAACGCAGTGAAGGAGACGTTTCCGACCCCATAAAGTATATATACAGGTGTGTCCCTGAAAACTATAACAATCAAAAAACAACTCAAAAGCAATTGTTGGGTTCCTTCAAAAATGTTCCGACATTTCCATAGCTAGAGGCGTTTTGAAGAACATTTCAGTAGGCTTTTTAAAATGTTTTCCTTTGTAGCCCATATTCAAAATCTTTTTGACTTAAAAAACCCGACATTTGTATTGCTAAAAACAACCCCCTGAAATGTCGGTGTCCCCGAAAAAATAGAGGTTTAAGTTTGCTTTTTGACACGCACTTGTATGAAAAACAACATAAGGGCTACTCAGTTTCATCCGATACATTTGAATTTCTTTCGATCAGCATTTAAAATTAAGCCGCTGAACACATAATCCAATGCATTTTGTTAAATCTTCTTCAAAATTAATTCGAAAAAAGGTTAACAAAGCCTTGGACATTTATGAAAATGATGCAGATATTTTCAAACTTACAAACTGAACCAAATGTAGGACGAAAAAAATTGACATTTCAAAGCATCAAATTCAGGTTTGAGGGAACCCGACAATTGTTTTTATGTTGCTTTTGATTGAGAAAACAAGGAAAACAAGGGAGTTTCTTAGTTGTTTGTTGTTTTTGAAAGCAACTCTCCGAAAAAAACTCTAGTGTTTTCTGGGACACACCTGATATTCTTGATCAGCATCACTAGACGAGACGATCTAGCCATGTCCGTCTGTCCGTCCGTCTGTCCGTCCGTTTCTACGCAAACTAGTCTCTCAGTTTTCAAGCTATTGGGATAAAACTTTCCCAAAAGTCTTCTTTCTATTGCAGGCAGTATATAAATCGGAACGAGCCGGATCGGACAACTATATCATATAGATCTCATAGGAACAATCGGGTAAAAAAAAAGTAAAAAAATTATATCTTGGGTGTTTTTGAACCTATAACATCCTACTTTTGGAAATGTCACTTTTTATCTAATTTTGAATTTTTCTATATCATATAGCGCCATAGGAAAGATCGGAAAAATAATGGGAAGACTTTAAAAAAATTAATTGGCTTGGGAGAGAGAGCGGTAAAAGTGAAAAAGTGCAAATTTCGAAATTTGGAGCTGTTGGGGCCGGTGGGGATAATTGCCCCCTCGCAATGTTTTAGTTGTGTTCCTATTGAAAATACCCGTCGAATGAGGGGTCATATGATAAAATCCGACGCTCCAGATTTTCTTCGTCTTCCCAAAATGAAAAATTTAATTCTGTTTGTCAGTTTGTCCAAAACATGTTTTTTAAGTTTTGAAAATTTGATATGACGATATCGATATAAAAAAATTTTGTTCTACCACTTTTGGAAAAACTCGCTAGTTTTGCGGGAAAACAGCTATAAATAGCTAAAATTCGGAAAACTTCTAAACAACTAAAGCTACAGACTTGTGCTGCATCTCGTTTGAAAGGTATTTTTAAATGCTATAAATGCCCTTCATATGTAATTTGTGTAAATGTAATAGTTAATAAGATATGAACAAAAGAAATTTTTTTTTAACTTTCTTTTTAGCTTTTTTTTAATTTTCTCAAAAACGGCTCTAACGATTTTCCTTACAACTTTAAACTGTATAGCCCTTGAGATTCCTTAAATTTTGGTATGTAACACATTACTGGAAAAAGTCACGTTTTTTTATACGAAAATAGCCCCTTTGCCAGCTCGAACTACTAACGCTCCCTGAGTATTGAATTTTGTGTGAGGGTATCCGAACTGTATTTTAGGGTCATGGAATCAGTAAATTTGCACTTAAGAGTTCCATATAGGAATCTTTTGTTCTACGACTTTTGGAAAAAGCCGCAACTTTAGCGGGAAAAAGCTTAAGGTACAGACATGTGCTATACCTCGTTTAAAAGGTATTTTGAAATACTTCAACGCCCCTTTGACCATATTGTAATATGTTCTAAGGCCCTTTGACCATATTGTAATATGTTCTAAGGCCCCTTTGACCATATTGTAATATGTTCTAAGGCTCCTTTGACTATATTGTAATATGTTCTAAGGCGCCCTATGACCATATTGTAATATGTTCTAAGGCCCCTTTGACCATATTGTAATATGTTCTAAGGCCCCTTTGACCATATTGTAATACGTTCTAACTTTGAACATATTGTAATATGTTCTAACTTTGAACATGTTGTAATATGTTCTAAGGCACCTTTGACCATATTGTAATATGTTTTTAGGCTCCTTTGACCATATTGTAAAATGTTCTAAGGCCCTTTTGACCATATTGTAATATGTTCTAAGGCCCCTTTGACCATATTGTAAAATGTTCTAAGGCCCCTTTGACCATATTGTAATATGTTCTAAGGCACCTTTGACCATATTGTAATATGTTCTAAGGCGCCCTTTGACCATATTGTAATATGTTCTAAGGCCCCTTTGACCATATTGTAATATGTTCTAAGGCGCCCTTTGACCATATTGTAATATGTTCTAAGGCCCCTTTGACCATATTGTAATATGTTCTAAGGTCCCTTTGACCATATTGTAATATGTTCTAAGGCCCCTTTGACCATATTGTAATATGTTCTAAGGCGCCCTTTGACCATATTGTAATATGTTGTAAGGCGCCCTTTGACCATATTGTAATATGTTCTAAGGCCCCTTTGACCATATTGTAATATGTTCTAAGGCCCTTTGACCATATTGTAATATGTTCTAAGGCCCCTTTGACCATATTGTAATATGTTCTAAGCCCCCTTTGACCATATTGTAATATGTTCTAAGGCGCCCTTTGACCATATTGTAATATGTTCTAAGGCCCCTTTGACCATATTGTAATATGTTCTAAGGCCCCTTTGACCATATTGTAATATGTTCTAAGGCCCCTTTGAACATATTGTAATATGTTCTAACTTTGAACATGTTGTAATATGT